TGTGTGTGTGTGTGTGCCCGCGCACACATGCATGTGCCCTTTGGAGTCTCATCTGACATTGGCTTCTCATTAGGTTTTGCCCCCATCAGTGGCATGTGCAGCAAGTACCGAAGTTGTACCATTAATGAGGACACAGGGCTGGGCCTGGCCTTCACCATCGCTCATGAATCAGGGCACAAGTAAGTGGACCTCCGGCTCAGCGTTGTGTATGACCACTCACTCACCTGACCGTGACCTGGCATTCCTCTAATGATACTATTGATCTTGTTGTTAACTGCCATTGAGTTAAGGATGGCTTTTAGAAACCCGGTAATGAGTGTCCATGCTCGTTATCTCTGATGTGCCTGAGCCCGTTGTTCCAGTCACTGTGTCAGTCCATCTGTTTAAGGGTCTTCCTCACCTTCTCTGACCCTCCCCCATTCTGGGAACAGTGGATGTTTTGTAAGTCTTAGTGTAGTCTAATCTTTTATTAATTTTAGGGAGCTCTGGTGGCCTACTGGTAAGAAGCTGCATTACAATCCCAAAAGCTTGCAGTTCAAATCCGCCAGCTGCTCTGCTGGAGAAGGATGAGCAGTCTCTTCCCATGGAATGAAACTGCCTCTGAAAACCTGCTGGAGGGTCAGCTGTGAGCTGGTTCCAACTCGACAGCTCACACAACAACAGTATAATTAAAAAATTAAACCCACCGCTGTGGAGTCCATTCAGCTGACAGCATTCCTGTAGGACAGACTCGAATCGCCCGTAGAATTTCCAAGGCAGCAAACTTTATGGCAGCCAACTGCCTTATTTTGCCATGGAGTGGTTTGTGGATTTGAACCAGTAAACTTTGGATTTGCAACCAAATGCTTTAACTCCAGTGTCTCCAGGGCTGCTAAATCTTAAATCTGTTGCTGTGGAATGGATTCTGTCTCACAGTGACCATCCATCACGTTTCCTAGAATTTTCCAAGAGGAAACTGTCCATCTTTCTCCCTTGGTGTAGCTAATGGTTTTGAAACACTAAGCTTTTCAGTTAGTGGTGCAGTACTTAGCACACTGTGCCACCATAAATGGTATTGGGTGAGATATTATCGATTAATTTTGGTAACTCATGGCAACCCCACATTTGCAGAGGAATGCTGTGTCCTGGAGGGTTTTCAGTGTTTGGTTTGTTTCAAATGGAAATTGAATTGCCAATGTTTTGGTTTTGGTTTTTTTTAACATACCTCTGAGTGAACTTGAACTCAGCCTTTCAGTACCCAGTAACACTGATGTTTAAGAGCTGTTTAGTACGTTCAGGTCTTGATGTGAGGGGATGTGGGCATCATGTCATTAGAAAATGGACAGTTTCTGGAGGTTATGCCACCTAAAGGCAGCTCTGGTGGCCTAGTGGTAAAGAATTATGCTGCCACCTCGAAGGCACGTGGTTTGAATCCATTGGTTGCTTCGAGGGAGGAAAGTAGACGGTCTCCCCTTGGGCAGTCTGCAGCCTCAGAAAACCCTCTGGAGGGTCAGCGATGACTTGACTCTGACTCAACAATACCTAACAACAACAAACCACTGAGGGTTATTCTGCATCTACCAGAACCTTCCATGGTGAAGTGACACAGGTGAATTCCATCTCACACGATGCGTTCAAAAGCCGTCCTTCCTTTGCTCTCAGGAGTTACTATTTTTATTATAATTTTGTATTGTTTATTATGATTATAGTTTATTTTTATTATGATTTTAATATCATTTTTATTTTTATAATTATGATAGAATTCATTTGTAAGCATTACAATTTCAGTTAATAATCTTGGAGTAAAGGCTTTGTACCACACTAGCCTTCCACATAAATAGCCCTTAAACACCTTATATTCTACTTTTTTCCATCTGCCTTCTATTCACTCTGAACTTCCTTGCCATCCTGCCATGGTTATGAGCAAGAGAAGAATTTTGCTATTTAAGAGAGAAGAATCACTATGCTGTGACTTTAGTTTGGCTTAGAAAGCTAACAAGAATCTTCCAGCTCTTAAGTATCTAACAGTACCCTTTGATTTTTTTTTTTTTTGAGGAGTTGGGTGGACAAGCCGCTAACATTCCTTGTCGTTTTTTCTGAGAATTTTACAACACTTTATATAATAACTCATTCCGATCTCTGTTTTCTTATATAGTCAAAAATGAATTCTCACGTGGGCATGTTGATTCTTAGCGCACCTTATCTTCCTCTGTTGTCAGTTGGAAATGGATTCACACGAGCGTTTTCTTCCCATCTTTCCCCTTTTGGTTCTCTAACAGCTTCGGCATGATCCACGACGGAGAAGGCAATCCTTGCAGGAAGGCAGAAGGCAACATCATGTCTCCAACACTGATGGGGAACGATGGGGTGTTCTCCTGGTCTTCCTGCAGCCGACAGTATCTCAAGAAGTTCCTAAGGTGAGACAGGTCTACGCCGCCAAAGGGTGGGGCCAGGGCTGCGTGGTAACAGGCAGCCATGAACGACGTGAAGACGGCTGTCCAAGGGAAGGATCTTTATAGACTTGTCAGTGACCCAGAAGGCTGACAGATTCCCCTGACTTGCTGCTGACAATGATAATAATGACAATATTATTAATGAAAACATAGGTGGGTTGCCTAACACAGTGCTGTATACTCTCCAGAGATGAACTCGTTCAGACATCATCGCAGTAACTACTGTGATCTTCATTTTAGGGTTGAGGAGATTGTGTCTGAGGGAGAGTAATTGTGTGACTTTAGGTCCTTCAGCCAATGAGTTGCAAGACCTAGAGCTCACCTTTAGTTCTTGTCCAGTTACCCACCTTGTTCCTCTGACTTCCAGAGGTTGCTGGGTATGTTGTTGCCTTTTTTACTGTAACTGATGATTTCAGTGCCAACCCTCAGTTTGGTTGTGTTCTTGCTGTGTACCACCGAGCCCCCTACCATTCAAATGACTCAGAGTGACCCTACAGGACAGAGTAGGACGTTGGGTTTCCAAGGCTACAGCCTGTATGGGAGCAGATGATCTCGTCTGTCTCCTGCTGAGTGGCTGATGTGTTTGAACTTCTGACCTTTCAGTTCACAGCCCTGTGCTTAACCTGATATGCCAGCAGGGCTATTACACATGCAACAGCATTGTGAAAAAGTTTTAAGTATTGTAAGACTTTTCAAAAGGTGACGTAGAGACACAAAATGAGCACATGCTGTTGGAACATGGCATTGGGAGACTTGGTCAATACACAGTTGCCACAAACCTTCAACTTGTAAAAAACAAAGTGTCTCAGAAGTACAATAAAACAAGGTATACCTCTCACTCTCTTTCTCTCTCACTCTCTCTCTCTTTCTCTGTGTGTTAGAAAAGAGAAGGAAGTTCCTTTAGGAATGAATACTGTTTTATATATCTGTCCCAATGTGTGTCATTTGCACGTGTTGGCAGAGTTAGCAGAATCCCCAGGGAGAGCTGATGGAGAGGACAGATGTCTAGCTGAAGATGTTCAGAGAATAAGACAATGACAGCACATCTTTTTCTGATCATATACAGTTCTGGGGCACTCTGGTAGCCTCGTGGTAAGGAGTTGTGGTCCCCACCTAAAGGCAAGTGGTTTGAATCCAGCAGCTGCCCCTCGAGAACAAGGGTTGTGTGGGAAGGACAGTCTCCTTCTGTGTGACTTACAGCCTCTGTAACTCCACTAGACAGTCAGCTATGTGTCAGGTCTGACTTGATGGCACATAACAACCACGACACTACAGAGAAAATTTTCCAATTTTAAGGTTTATGTTTAGAGGCCTGAAGTGATCTTTTCTAACTTATGTGAGGTTGGAATTAATAAACGTAATAAATCAAGATCTTCTTAGGTATAGACTGAATTTCCATCTGTAAAAAGTTAAAGTGAAATGTTTTTGTATAGTAACTACAACAGCGGGCGGGGTTCTCCTGAGAAGTAAAATGAATGAAGTGTATGCACCTACTTAATTAAATGTCTCTACACCTGCCTGTCTCTGGGGAGCTCTGGTGACTTAGTGGTGAGAAGATGGGCCATCTTCTCTCTTGCCATTTACCACATCTGGAAGATGCACGGGAGGGTCAGGTGTGAGCATATTCTCACTCGACAGTACATGACAACATCTGTCTGCAGGGGAACCCTGGTGGTGGCCTAGTGATACGGCGTTGCTCTGCCACGCCAGCTACTGTGCAGGAGAAAGATGGGCCGTCTCTTCCCGTGGGATTTAGAGCCTCTGAAAACCAGTTAAAGGATCAGCTGTGAGTCGATGCTAACTCAACAGCACCTGACCCCAAGGACAGTGCCCTCTGTCTGTAAGGGCAGTTGTGGTGGAGTCGTCCAGGGGTGCTGCACTGTTCCGCCACAGGCCATGCCTCTCTGGTTGTTCAAATTCACTAGGAGCTTCATGGGAGAAAGATGGACCACCTCCTCCCGTGCAATTTAGAGCCTCTGAAAATCCACTCGAGGGTCGCTGTGAGTCAGTTTTGATGCCATGACAATGACTTGGCTACTGCAGTCTCCATCCATCCATCCATCCATCTCCCACACACATGCACCTGCCCACCCATCCATTCATCCATCCGTCCGTCCGTCCGTCCGTCCATCCATCCATCCATCCATCCCTCTCCCACACACGCAGCCGCCCATCCATCCATCCATCTCCCACACACGCACCCGCCCACCCATCCATTCATTCATCCATCCGTCCGTCCATCCATCCATCCTCTCCCACACACGCACCCGCCCATCCATCCATCCATCCATCCATCTCCCACACATGCACCCGCCCGTCCATCCATCCATCCATCCATCCATCCATCTCCCACACACGCACCCGCCCGTCCATCCATTCATGCATCCATCTATCCATTTATCTAAAGGAGGCAGCTTTGTCTATCAGAAATGGCTCCCCTGCTTATTGAGACTGTCACGTCCCAGGTTTGTGGCAGATCAAACCTCAAAACAGAGGCTTCTCCTGAGTCTCACGTAGCTGCATAGACTGACAAATCCAAGGTTGGCAGACAAGTAAGATAAGCTGCTTGTTCAAGTCCAGAATAAGAGGAGCCAGACTCAGGATCCTGATCAAGCAAAAGGCAGGTCAGTTCTGCCAAACGTCTGTGTATATTCCGTGCAGACCACACGACTGATGCAGCTCTCCTTCAGCTGACTGAGTCCTCAGAGCAGATCTCATCCAGGCAGTGATTACATCAGACTTCTTCAAGGGAGTGACCACATCATCACTCCTGAACCAGAGGTTCCTAGCAGCCAAGCTGACATTCACCTTTAACCGTCACTAACACCTGACTAGAGAGTTCAGGATGGTGCGTTAAGCACATTAATTTTCCTGTGTGATCACTTAATAACACTGCTGGGAAACATGGTGGTTAATGAGGCTCACAGTCATATAGCTTGGTTTGCATTATGTGGCTGACTTCAATCTCTTTACAACTGATCCTAAAATCACACTTTAACTACCAACTATTTACCTGTCACCTATCCTATTGTGTAATTGTTTAAGTAAATGAAAGTGTCTTTGAAGAAGAGCCGTGCCTTCAAGACAGTGTGTTTCTCCACATTTTCCTGTTAAACACCCCCGAAAACTTTTCTGCCTTTTTCTCCCACAAGGGAGCTCTGTTGGCTTAGTGGTAGGAAGTTTGTCTGGCAACTCAAAGGTACATTGTTTAAATACACCAGTGGTTCCACAGGAGAAGGGGGGGGCAGTCTCTTCCCATGTGAGGCTGGGCGCTATGAGGAGAAATGTGGGGTCAAGATTGGTGGAAGAACTATCAACCATCTGCATTATGCACATGACACAACCTGCTTGCTGAAACTGAGGAGGACCTGAAGCACCTGCAAGGACTGTAGCCTCCAATATGGCTTGAGGCTCAATGTCAAGAAGACAAAGATTCTCACCACTGGGCCAATTGGAAGCATCAGGATGGATGGCAAAGAGATTGAGATTGTTCACAGCTTTAGTCTGCTTGGCTCTACAGTCAACACTCTTGGCACCAGTAGCCAGGAAATTAAAAGGCGCATTGCGATGGGAAAGTCTGCTGTTAGGGACCTCTCCAAAGTACTCAAGAGCAATGGTGTCTCTCTGGAGACTAAGGTGCATCTGATACAGGCCATGGTCTTCGCAATCACTTGTTACACATCAGAGAGTTGGACAGTGACCAAGGAGGATAGAAGGAGAATTGATGCCTTTGAGGTGTGGTGCTGGAAAAGAGTATTGAGAGTACCATGGACTGCTAAGAAAACAGATTTGTCCTGGAAAGGGTTAAACCAGGCTGCTCCTTGGAGGCAAGGATTCTGAGGCTCCGTCTAGCATACTTTGGACATGTTGTAAGAAGAGACCGGTCCTTGGGGAGGAGCATCATGCTTGGGAGGGTGGAGGGACGGCATAGGAGGGGAAGGCCCTCTATGAGGTGGATTGATTCAGTGACTGGGATAATTGGGATGGGAGTTTCGGAGTCAGTGCGATTGGCACAAGACAGAGCAGAGTTTAGGGCTGTTGTGCATAGGGTCCCTATGAGTCACAAGCGACTCGACGGCACATAACAACAACAACATTCCAACTTGATGGTACACAACCAGTGTGTCCTTTGTGCTGATTTCTTTCATTAGCCTTGCTCCTTTGCTTGTAATGACTGTTTACGGTAGCATGTACTGGTGTATCTGAGGATATTGTTGACTTGATTTCCAGATAGGAGAATATGGAGATGAAGTGACTTATGTGGGTTTTGATGTTTCCAATCCTATAAAGGTTATATTGTACTCCACTTTAGTCTGTTATGTGTACAGTTGCACGATGGAAAAAGTCTGAAATATTGTGAGAATTACCAAAATGTGACATAGAGATAGGAGATTAGTATATGTTGATTAAAAAAAAAAAAGCAACAACAGAGTAGCTCAATGCAAGTTGTCACAAACCTTCAGTTTGTAAGAAAATCACAGCATCTGTAAAATGAGGCACAATAAAATGAAGCCTGCGTTTAATCTCTGCCCTATAATCTCTGAGGGGAAAAAAGCACAACCTGACTTGAATTTTGTGAAACGGTGCTACCTCAGTCCTCTTTATATTGGGTCTTGAGTCCTTAAGATAAATGCTTGTTACAAAGCAGGCACTCAGTAAACAAGTGCTGAACGAAACTTGACATTGAACAAAACTTTGGTGAGGGATGTTTTCAAGTATATTGACCTTTCCCGTCACCATCATACATAGTCCTTTGGATGTCTGTACCTTCCAGGATCCTGTAACACCTTTCATGGTGATAAGTTTCTGTCCTTTTAGGTAGGACTCACAAGTGGGAATAAATACCTACTGAATTTTTATGCAAATAGCATGCACCTTCTCTATTTGTTTGTCCCCCTACTCCCTCCGCTCCACAGGTATTTTGATAAGCACCACTTTGCTATAGTTAATTGTTAATGTTGCTGTGAAAAATGAATCTATCACATATACAGAACTACTTTCCAAAGGGCAGTCAACAGACCTGTGTAAGAGGTTTGTGTAACTTGCCTAAGAGACCTCTTCTATAAACTGTTTTCTTTTTCATTTGCAAACGTTCTTTCAGTGGTACCTTGTGGGATTAGAAGGCAAGATGCCAGGAAATCAACGTCATTAACTAAGGATGTGTTATCTCTACAGTACACCTCAGGCGGGGTGCCTGGTTGATGAGCCCAAGCAGACAGGACAGTATACATATCCGGACAAACTCCCAGGACAGATTTATGATGCTGACACACAGTGCAAGTGGCAATTTGGAGCAAAAGCCAAGTTGTGCAACCTTGGTTTGGGGAAGGTATGTTTGCTTGCGATTTCAAACTTGCATTAACATTCTGCAAAGTGTCTGTGTACAGAATAGAAGTATAAACATTCGGCTTAGGAAGGCCGGGGGTGAGAGTCTGGGTTATCTCGAAAATGTCAGTTGTTTGGCATAATAATGAAGGAGCAATTCTACCTTCAATGCATTATCCTGGCTTGTCCCTCGTACACCATGCCTCCTCTAAACACCATTGGACTGCATTCTTGGAAGAAAACCCCCCTTCCTTGGGTGAAGATTGTAGGACTGGTAATAAATCTGGGGATAATCGCTTTTACTTACTGGTTCCTTTTTTTTTTAATCTTTGTGTTTGTATTCTCTTTTAATGCATTATGCTCAAAGTTATTGTCTGGTGCCATTGAGCTGATTCCACCTCTTAGGAGTCCTGTGTACAATAGAACAGACCATGGCTGTGGCCTGTACTGCCCTTGACAGTGTTGCTAGATGCGGGCCTGTTGTAACCACATGTCATTTCATCTTGCTGGACTCTCCATCTTGGTCATTGACCCTTTACCAAGAATGATGTCTTTCTCCAGTGGCTGATCCCACCCCATAAAATGCCCAAGGTACATGAGATGAAGCATTGCGGTCCTTACTTCTAAAGATCATCACAGTTGTATGTAGTCTAAGACAGATGTTTTTCTTCATGAGTCCATAGTGGGTATTACTCAAAAGTCTTTGCTTATACCATAATCCACATGCTCCATCTGTTCTTCAAAGGGCGGTTTAAAGGCATTGCTGCTGTTATTGTTAGATACCTCAAGTCACCTTCTCCTCAGAGGGATCTTAAGAGTAAAAGATCAAGTGAGCTCTGGTGGCCTAGTGGCAGGAAGCTGCATTGCAATCTCAGAGGCTCGCAGTTCAAATCCACCAGATGCTCTACTGGAGAAGGAAGGACGGTCTCCTCCTGTACGAGTCAGATCTGATTTGATGGTACACACACAAAAAAATAATAAAATAAAATGATAAAACAAAAAAGAATAAGAGATCAGAACCGTGTCCTGTCCTCTCCTGCACCATCTTCGTGGTCTCCCCCATGCTCAAGACCATAGTTGTGGTCACCATAGCAATCCATTATACTGGGGGTCCCCACTCTTTCACTGACACTCTCCCTTTCCCAGCATAAGTCTTTTGTAGTATCCAACTATAGATTTTCCTGTCTTCTAGCAAAGAAGCTTTACTGAGGGCTTTCTTTAGCTTTTCTCCTGGTGAAGTGAGTTTCCGCGATTTTGAGCAGAGACGTGACATGATCGGACGTATTTGATCAAGAAGTGTCCCTGGCTAAATTCCACCCACTAGAACTTTCTGCAGTGGTGGGAACAGTCTGTGTTGTCCAGCGTGCAGGTCGCTAGCACCTTGTCCTTTGAACACTTGACATAGGGACCAGTGAGGTGAAGGCCATCAATATGTTGTTTCATGTAACTTTATTTAGTTACAAATTTAAATAGCGACACATGACTAATGGCTACCATATTGGACAGCACACCTTAAACCACCCTTTTGGGAATCAGATGGCAGGAAGAGGGGATGATGTGGAAGCAGGGGTGCTTGTGAAGAAGGAATGGGGGTAACCCACGTGAAAGGTGGCTTAGAGCGAATTGTAGCAGTCAGAGTAGTGGTAATTGTTCTGATTCTTGAGCTGAGGCAAAGGTAGAGAAACTGTGAATTCAGGATTTAGTCAATTTTCCGATAACAGCCTGAGAACAAAAGCATAGTCACAGCGGGCCTCAGGAATTTTGTTCTAAGGCGGTGTCTTACACTGAGATGGGAAGACTGAACATGGAAAAGATGTCAGAGATATGAAGAGCTTTGTTCTACATGATGTTAAGTTTAAAGCTGCTTCTTAAAGTTTAATTTGCAAAAAGCATTAACATTTATGTTGTGTCAGTTTTCACTTGAAGAGATACATGTCTTGTGGAGCACAGCTGGAGAAGATAGCCAGCAGGTGACAGGGCAGAACACTGGACAGCACTGAGCTTCGCTCCTGACGAGATGTTGACTGGGCAGGAAAACCCCAGCAGGCAGCTAGCGCAAGACCTAGCACGAGACCTTGGCTTCTCCATGGTTCTCTTCTGCCCTTGAATTGTGACTTCAAGTCCAGGCATTAGAGATAAGGAACACCCAGTTGGATATGCTGGTGAGAAGGGAAGGAACACCCAGAAAAGTGCAAACTCCCATTTCTGTTTACTTTGCAAGGGAGCTAGCTTGGGGCTCTTGTGGCCGGCAGAGCGTGGAGTTGGCTGTAATTATGTTTGACTTCTGCACTTCACCGCAGAAGAAATAACATGTGCCTATGGCCCGCCTTATTACATTCTGGAATCTCTGTATTTTTTTAAAATTTGTTGTATTTTCCCTGGTCCGCTCCTGATACCCTCTCCTTAGCCTGTGGCCTGGCGTTGGATACAGGATCCATCCAGTCTACAAGAGTCTTGTTCTTTGGTTTGTCCTGGCTGCCACATAGGCTACAGTAGTGGGCTATGATTTTATCTTGACAATGAAAAGAAAAGCCATTTAAATCTGAAAGATTTTCTATCTGTGACTTTACGTATCTCAAAGGCCACTTGTCATTTCTCCATTTTTGACTTGGATTATGCTTTTTCTGCCTAAATTTATTTCCCTCTGGGGAACTTGCAGTGATGTTGGCCTTGACGGAGTTTGTTAGAAGACTGCGTTATGCTTTCGGGTGATAGTTCCTGGTAGATGTCATTTCTGTGGGTAACGTTTATACATTCTGACTTAGGAGCTGATTTGAGCTTTGGAAGTGGTATATGTGCGTGAATGAGTGTATCGGGCTGGTCATGATAATGGGTGCTTCCCTGAGTTGTCTTCCACATCATTCCATTCTCTCTGGGGAGAAGGACTTTTTAAAAAAAATATTTTTGAAAGACCAGACTTGCTACACAGATTTCTAATCTCGCTGTTTTCTCAGTCCCATGGAAAACTTTGTTTTAGTGCAAAAATACTTCTAAGTACATCCTTGCCGTATTTTCTAACCATAAAATCTGTATTAACTGGAATGCTTGGCGAGTCAAATGCCTGCTTAATTGAATTTTCAGGGTTGTAACACATGACCACAGAAATCATCATTTCCTCTTTGATTGATAATATTTCCCCCTAAAATATCTGTGTTCACATTTCTGCTTTAGTCAATAGGATGTGACTGACATTATGGAATCACTTTGATGTTTCCTGATTTTGACATCCCGTTAGTGACATAATTCCTGACAGTGACTTCAGATGTTTGAACTGGAAGGAATCTCATGCAGTCTCCTTTTTTTTCTCCATAGCTGGACAGCTAGGGGCTGGAGAAGGTCAGAGCCAGTCAACCCCCAGCAATGATAAATCCAGATTCAGAATCACGATTAAGAACCCACACAAGGAATCAGGCCAGTTAGAGCTCTCTGTTGGCCCTTTGCTAGCTGTGTGATTAAGTGACTTTGAGAACATCAGTAATCACTTCTTGACCGTTCAAATGATATTAGAATTAGTTTCTCATTGTTGATGTAATAAGTTAGCATAAACTCAGTGACTTAAAACAACAGAAATATATTACCTTACAGTTCTGGAGTTCAGAGTCCAAAAGAGGCCTTGTTGATGTTCTTGTTAGGTGTCATTGAGATGAGCACAGCTCATAGTGGCCCTCTCAGCAATAGCTCTGAACCCTGTCCTATCCTGTGCCATCTTCCTAATCTCTGACACTCTCAAGCCCATTGCTGCAATCACTATGTCAAGAGTCTTTCTCTCTTTCGACATCCCTTCACCTTTCCAAGAATGATGCCCTTCTCCAGGGAATCTTCTCTCCTAGCAACATGCTCAAAGTATATTGAGACAAAGCTTCACCATCCTTGCCTCCAATGTTACACTTTTTCAAAGACCTATTTGTTTCTTCTTTGGCAGTCCAAGGGTAAAAAGCCACTCTTAAGTCTTGGCTAGTGGCCCCTTCCTCCATCTTCAAAGCTAGCAGCCGATAGCTGGTTCTTTTTCATGCTGCCTTTTCTCTGGTTCTCTCTCTCCCTTTCCTCATTTAAGGGCCTGTGCATCTACCAGCCACTGCGTGGGAGATTCCTGGAGAGTCCCCTTTGGTTAAGATTTATCGCCTGGGAAACACAGTACAGGGTTGCTCCGAGTCAGAATTGACTCGGTGGCAGTGAGTTGAATGAGTGCTCACATTTAGAAGCTCTGGTGGAGGATGTTAAGTGTCAGGCTGCTAACAAGGCTGGCAGTTTGAATCCACCAGCTGCTCTATGGTAGAGGATGAGGCTGTTTCCTCCTCGTAAAGATTTCTATCATCAGAGACCGAATGGAATGTGAGCATGAATCACGACTGGCTCGACCTCCGGTGGGTTGAGTTTTGAATTGGCTATTTGATTACATTGGGTCCAATTATAGTTATGTGCCATCAAGTCACTTGTAACTTATAGCAACCCTGTGCACAATAGCTTTGAATCCTGTCCTATCCTGAGTCAGTCTCACTGTCTCTGACATGCCTACTCTCAGTACCACAGTTATTGTGCCAATCCCTCTCATCCAGGGTCTTCCTCTCTTGCAGTGTCACTTGACCCTTCCGAGCATGATATCCTTTTCCAAAGACTGGTCCCTCCTGGCTACATGCCTAAAGTATGTGAGAAAGAGTCTCAAAATCCTTGCCTCCAAGGAGCAGCTTGGACACCCTCTCTAGGACAGATCTAGTTCTCTTGGCTGTCCGTGCTATGTTTAAAACTCTTCTCCAGCACCACAACTCAAAAGCATCAGTTCTTCTTCTGTTATCTTTGGTCATTGTCCAGCTCTTTAATGCCAGGAATTGCAAAGACCATGGCCTGGATCAGGTGTACCTTAGTCTTTAAACTGACATCCTTGCTCTTCAGCTCTTTAGAGAGATCCCTGACAGGAGATTTCCATAATACAGTTCATATTTTTATTTCCTAACTGCTGGTGTCAAGAGTGTTGATTGTGGGACCGAGCAAGCTGAAATTGTTAACAATCACAATCCCTTATCCATCTGTCTCAGTGCTGCCAGTTGGCCCAGTGGTGAGAATCTTTGTTTTCCTGTAGATCTGTTGTGAGTAGTAAGTTGTCCAAGTTAAAAATTGCGATAAAAATGAAGACATTGACGGTGATAGCAAATATTTTTTTTTAAAACTCTGTATGCCAGGCCAATCATTTCACTTACATTGCTTTATTATTTAGCCTCTTTAGAAGAACCATATTTGAAAATTCTATGTTTTATGACTTATTTTACAGGTTAGGGGCTGCAGCTTAAAGGGTTTCTGTGACACATGTGTAAAATGTGAAGGCATAAGGACTGGAAACAAGTTGTCTTGGCCTGTTCCTGATACATTGGATATTATCATTAGAAGCCAAGGACCATTAGCTCCCCATACTGTGTTATCTAGACTAACTGGTGTTCTTGTGATTTCTAAATATGCATCTGTCTGCAGGAAGTGAAGACACTTCCCAGACCTCATAGATAGAAGAGATGAAGCCAGAACCTCCATAAAGAGAGTCATACAATTTTTGGGTTTGTTTTGTTTTTCAGTGGCTATAAAAGTAATATTTAGACTATCCTACAGTCAGTTAAGTGTGCAATAGCATGATAAAAAAAAACCCCTCTGAGATACCATGAAAATTGCCAAAATGTAACATGGAGACACAAAGTGAGCTTGCAACTGTTAGGAAGAATGGGTCAGTCGACACACTCAGTGAAGGCTGCCACAGTCCTTCACCACTGCCACAGTCCTTCACACCTGACACAGTCCTTCACCGCTGCCACAGTCCTTCACCCCAACACAGTCCTTCACCCCTGCCACAGTCCTTCGTCCTTGCAGCAGTCCTTCACCATTGCCACAGTCCTTCACCGTTGCCACAGTCCTTTACCCTTGAGGGAAACCTGTCTGTCTGTGAAGTGCAGTGAGGTGGGCCTCTGTCAGATGAGGCCTGCCTGCCTGTGGGTGCTGGTACAGATTACTGCCCATTCTCTGCTGCTACAGCCTCAACACTCCCCTGTGATTTCTGGATAATGAGTTTGACTCCATGGAACTACCTCAAAAAAGACAGCTGCACACAAAGCATTGAGCAGTTGGTTTTCCTTGTCACCCTCACCTGTCCCTTCTTCTCTTTCAGGACATTTGCAAATCACTTTGGTGCCACCGAGTGGGTCAGAGGTGTGAGACCAAGTTCATGCCCGCGGCGGAAGGGACCGTTTGTGGCTTGAGTATGGTAAACTGAATACTTGTTAGCTTTTAGTTCTAGAGACTTGATAAGCCTAGAACCCTAGATGTTTGTTCTCTGACCTTAGGAAACTCTCTGCATGTATTTTTCTGACTTTTCTTTAGAATAGGCAATGTGATTTACCAGCTGTGACAAAACTTAATTCTAATAGAACCCAATTAGTTCTATTGTGTCTTACTTTATTGTCTTTGTTTCCTTTTTATAGAAGAAGGCTTGCATCATAATGTTTACTATCTCAGCGAGCCAGTGGATTTTTTTGCCTTGTTTGCCTTTTAATAAATCTTGAGAAGCAGGTATCCTTTTTAGTAGCAAAGAACTAGCACTCCACATTGTGTTCTGTGTCCCTCACTTCGCCTCCTAGGACATGTTTTGAGGTTCTGCCTTGCCTATGAGAACCCACTATCGTAGAGTTTCTTAATGAAGAATAAGAGACATCTCCATCGGGGACCATAGCATCAAGAAACAGTCCCCAGAAGTGGAGTATTTCCTTCTGGACGTAAGTCCCTTTGCTGGAAGCTCCTTGACACTAGAGGAGGCCAGGATACAAAGAGATCTTCACAGAACTCTGAGCCTGCAGCTACTAAAGGCAACAGAGACTTTCTCCAGAACCAGCAGAGATGAAAAGCCTTCCTCTAAAGCTGGAACCCTGAAATTAGACTCTCATCCCCCTACACTTGATAAGAATAAATTTATATTTCCTAAAGCACAGGAGAGGAAGACCCTCGATGAGGTGGATCGATTCAGTGACTAGGGTAATGGGGGTAGGTGTGTCCAAGACAGTAAGATTGGCACAGGACGGAGCAGGGTTTAGAGCCTATTGTACATCGGGGTTGCTATGAGTTGAAGGTGACTCAACGGCGCATAACAACAACAACAACAACAACAGAGCCATTCCCACTCCACCAAATAAAGAAACATCTCCACTGATTTTGTACCAGAAAAGCTGTTGGTGAAGACCACCTTCAACACAAAGACTTCACACAAACCTCCTTCTGCTCTAAGAAGTGTCTGGATGTAGAGTGAAGAAGTCTGCAGATATTGTCTCAATTATCTTTTCCCAGTAATGTCTAGGGGAATGGTACATTCGTGATACCAGGAACTGATCTTGGTTTGAGATGTTCATTTCCAAGGCTGTGATCAGGAACGATGATGACAAGGACGATGCATCACAGACCTGCTCCAGGTGACACACACCTGTAAAGATGAACTCGTCACTTAGAGGGAATTTAATCCCACTTTAAGGTATTCACTGCTGACCCCTGGTAATTGGAGATTCTGGGTGCTTAGAGATGAATGAACTCAGTCTTAAAACTTGAGGGATCATAATCCAGGATCAAGACCTATACTGGGTCAGGAATGGCATTGTTTTCAGCACACCTTTCCTTGAGCATTTAGTTGCTGTTGCAGCCCAGACGCTTGTCCAGTGCAGCTTGCTCACAGCCAAGGATGCGTTTAGGAGAAACTGCAGGCCAAGGGCTTACTGACAGGGACTCTAACATTTTAAAAAAATTTTTACGTGTGTGTGTGTGTGTGTACCATCAAATCAGATCTGACTGGTACAGGATGAGATGGTCCCTCCTTCTCCAGCAGAGCATCTGGTGGATTCAAACTGCCCGTCTCTGGGATTGCAGTGCAACTTCTTGCCACTAGGTCACCAGACCTAGCCCTGACTGGGACGTTAGAGTGTGAATTGAATCCTGTGGTTGCAGAGAGAGGGAAGATGGGCGAAAAATTCAAAGACGGAAACCTATGAAAAGAAAAGGGTGTTCAAGAAATACTTTGGGGACTTAATGTTTCTCTGATAGTTTGCTGGGAGTTGGGATTTTGAACTCTTATTTTAAAAAGAAAACCAACAACTGAAAAAAAATTGAAAAGTTACAGGTTATTTTTTTGGAGGCTTTTTTCTCCCCCAGCTTATAATAACTATTGTTTTTCCTTTTTAAATTTTTTGTCACTTTTCTCTTTCCAAATATCTACATTATTGAAGCAAATGGCCAGCATTGCCATTTCAGATGATTTTGAATCAAATGCACTGCTCCTGGTAAATCTCGGTTAAGAATCTTGGGAAGTGGCAATGAGAGCACTGTTATTCTGACCATGCTAAAAAATTAAGCAATTGAATCATTGAAAACATATGGACAGCTCAAGACATTTTTATTTTTAAAGCATCAAGTATTACAACTTGCCCCTTGAGGATTAATGAGCATTTTGCTTTTTCATGAAAAGTCGAGAGCGTGAAACAGAAGAGGGTATTTAAAAAAATACATCTAGTAAATGAGACTTATAAACGATAAATGGGCTCGCTCTGAGATGGACTACCTTGACCCAGAATGGTGACTATGCCATGGGCTGCCAAAGAACAAGCCTGGCACCGGTAGCCTGTGTGCTCCTTAAGCAGCACGGGTGGTGAGACTTCGTTCCACATACTTCGGACGTGTTGTCAAGAAGGGACGCTCTCTGGAGAAGGATGCCAAGTTTGGAAAATCAGATGGTCAGTGGAAAAGAGGACGACCCTCAAGGAGATGGGTTCCCAAAGAGATGGCAGCCGTGGCCTTAAGCACAGCAGACTATGAAAATGGTACAGGGTGGACTGTTTTGCTCTTTTGGTCTTGTTGTTGTTATGTGCCATAGAGTCGCTGGTGACTCATAGTGACCCTGTGTATAGCAGCCCTAAACCTGGTGCTGTCCTGTGCCGATGTCAGAGCTGCCTTAAGCCAGAACTGACTTGACAACACCATCCAACATAGAACAAGGGTGATACGGAAATCCAGCAGGGGCTTAAGCTCCATGGGTACCACAGTGCCCTAGGACTGGATTTCAATCAATAAAGAGAGAAAATAGACCAGAAATTAGGACAGGAAGTCTTCCTAACCATGTCATGCTACCTATATTGTAAAACACTGCAGATTTCTGCTGTGGGAAAGCCGTCCACTTTCAGATCTGCCTCAGCAGAAGCATCTTGTGACGTTCCATCCATCAACACTCCAACAGTCATCATCACATTATTTGATGCTCCCTCCATATCTCTGATTGCCTCTTCATTAGACTGTAATGAGGCCACCTTGAGGGCCAGGACTCATCTTACTCATGTCTTGTACATGTCAAGCACAGAATAGCAGCTGCTCAACATTTTGTTTGTAAGTGGAGCCCAACTGAGCCCATCACACGTACCATAAATATTCCATGAATACTTGAGAGTGTGGAAGCCACTTACTGTTGTCTAAAGTGATGTACAAGGATGACAAAGCATGAGCTTACCGTCCAACCGCCACAGGTCCAATCTTTGAATTGTGTTGTTGACGAAGACTGTCAACAACCAGAAGAACAAGCAGATCTGTCTTGGAAGAAATGCAGCCAGCGTGCTCCTTGGAAGCGAGGATGATATGACTTTGTCCTCAGTGAGATGAATTGACCCTGTGATACAACAACAGACACAAACACAGCAACAGTGAGGAAGTCGCAGCACAGGGCAGGCCCAGGATGAGTCAGGATTGACCCAGCCGCACTTACCAGTAACAGCTTCCTTCGTAGAAGATACTTAAGTCAGTTGCATTTAGAAGCAGCACTGGACATGTAAATCTGTGGATAAATACGAACTATGGTAGACAAAAATCTCCAAATGACTGTTTGTTTCCCCTACCTACCCTCACAGTTATGTGTTTCCATGCAGTCTTGAGACAGTAATTAACCCAAGAGGAAAAGAAAATGAAAAACAAAAGAATTAGTCAACACATGGCAAGAATGTGAAGAGAGGAAGTCCTAGCTTAATTTAGACAAAGTGGACCAGCATCTCAGCCACACAGTAAACAGCCACGAAGCCAAATGGATCACAGAGCGGGGGGAAAAGGGAAGATTTGAAAGTCAAACAGCCTCTCCCGAGTCCTGTAACCCAAGCCCCAGGCCTCCGCGAACCCTGGCCAGGACCAAACCCCAGCCCCGAGGATCTGATTGCAGAGGCTTTTAGGAAAGTGTTCAGTTATGCTCAGCCATGCAGAACGTGCTCATAATAAAAGCACCACAGACGAGGGGGAAACCACCACTACCAGGGCGAATGCAAGTCCCGAGGAGAGAGATGAGCAACAAAGTGTGGAATGTGCTGGGAAGCAGAGCTGGGATGGAAAGGTTAGCGCAGCAAACAGCTCCCCGACTTGATGCGCACGTGCCAACGACACAGAGCCAGGGCTAATTCAGCCGGGGTGCGCTTGGCATAGCACCGCCAGAGTCTGCAGCGGGAACTTCTAATACCAGACAGAAGGGCAGAGCGTTATCTGAATGGCAGAGTTTGCACAGACAACAGATGATTCCACTGCTTAAGAAATGTCCTTCATTGTTGCACTTTCTGTAGATGTTCACTGAAATTAAAAATAAATTCTTTTTTTTAAAAAAAAAAGAAAGAAAGAAATGTCCTTTGGGGAAATTGTGGAATAACAGTAACCATTGCCGATGAGTCAGTTCTCACTCTGTGTGTGTCAGAGCAGAACTGTGCTCTGTAAGGTTTCCATTGGCTGTTTTGTTTTTAGAAGTAGATCTCCAGGCCTTTCTTTCAAGGCACCACTGTGTAAACTTGAACCTCCAGCCTTCCGGTTACTAGTCAGACACACTAACCATTTGCGTCACTCAGAGATCCCAGCTCAGAGATAGAGTGCGTGCATCGTGGGGCCGTTCTGATGATAAGCTGTTGTTGTGTACAGTCGATTTGGAACTGACTCAGAGCTGGCCCAACAGTGGGTTTTCAGGGGCAGTTACTGTCTTTGGAGGAGATAGCCCATCTTTCTCCTGTGGAGCAGCTGGTGGATTCAAACCATACACCTTTGTGTTGGCAGCACAATTCCTTAACAAATGACAGTGTCTGTGTTACTATCTTAAAAACTGTTTTTGAGGGGAGTTGGGTTGTTGTTGTGTTCCCCCCCCCCTTCTTTTTCCTTTCCTAAAATGAATGTTTCAAGTTGCCCTTTCTTTAGTGGCATCTGTAAAAGGTCAGGGAGGCTCCTTTGTAATTTTGTCTTCGCTGACGACCTGGGCCGTACGTGTGATGTTACCTGAGCATATCAGCTGGACAGCTCACAGAGCAGATAATCCCAAGCCTGTAGGTGATTAGAGGCCCCGTGTCCCCATGTGTCTGACTTTTCCAGTTCAGGAGGGGCGCGTGGTGCATCAGACGTTTGTCAAGTACAGCAAGCTAAGAGATTCTTTTCATTACGGGTCCTTCCTCGTTGCCCTCTGCCTGGTTTGCCTGCCACCCTTGCCCTGCTTTGCCAGGTGCTGTCTGACAGGAGGCCTGTTGTCTGTTCTCTTTGCAGTGGTGTCGCCGAGGCCAGTGCGTCAAGTTCGGGGAGCACGGGCCCCGGCCTGTGAATGGCCAGTGGTCCTCCTGGTCGAAGTGGTCAGAATGTTCAAGGACATGTGGTGGAGGAGTGCGGTATCAGGAGAGACACTGCAATAACCCCAAGTAAGACCCTGACAACAGGACTTTAGCTTTTTAGGCTATTATGCCTTGATTTTAAGTTTTGGTGGGTGGGTGTGTTTCTTTTTAAACTACCCCCCCTTTGCCCCCAGGTTACCTTGCACCACACCAAGGTTTAATATCGAGCTTACACTGCTGCCTAGTTACAATTTTTTCTTTTAATTGTTTTTTGTGAAAATTTCTTTTTAAGAACAGCCTATTGAACCATGAGGTTTTTCGGTGGTGGTGGTGTGTGCTTGTGTGTGAGATGAATTCTGTATAAAAATGTATTTACCATTTCACTTTCTTTTTCCTTACATTTTTGTTATTGAGAATATATGCAGCAAAGCATCTGAGTTCACTCTTTGCTATTGGTGTAATTCAGTGGCCCTGATTACATTAAGGAGTTGGACAACCCATATTAACATCAATTCCCCACTTCCTGAGGTTCTTATCTTCTGAGTTGCTGTGGTCACACTATCCATTTATATAATTCTTAAGAAGGCAAATTGTTGTTTGGTTTTAAAGCAACTTCACGGTGTATTTTTGGTTCAAGGTTTAAAGATTAACTTAGGGCAATAGTTTCAGAAGTTCATCGATCCTTCATGTCTTCAGAAAGTCTCAAGTTCTTGGCAACTTGAAATTGCGTTCTACATTCCTCCCCCCTTTTGGAATACTTCCATGGAATCTCTGATCAAAATGCCCAGTAGCAGTGGAAAGGCACCATCTAATTCTTATGTCAAAGGGGGCAGTTGTTCATGATGGCAGTTAATGACACGTTCTATAGCCTCCTTCTGTGCCTGACCCTCCTTCTTCTATTCTTCCAGGTGAACTGAGCCCAACTGTTAAGCCTTAAGGAGCCACTTACAAACATTTAAAACCCTAGAATGCAGTGAACTGAGAGGCAGAAAGAAGCAAACATGTTATTAGCCCGATTAACTGGGATGCCCCATAAATTTATGACCTCAAACCTCCAAGCCAAAAAGCCGGATACAGTCCAGTACCTCCTGGGGTATGCCCATGACATACTGGGTTGTACATAAGTAGCCTTAACAGTTACCCTTTTTGGTCTCATTGTTGCCATCAACCAGTGACATTGAATTCTGCTTCCTATGTTATACAATCATCACCACTGTTTGTTTTAAAAGTTTTCATCACCCTTAACAGAAACTCCCTGCCCTTAAGCACTGTTTTGTTTTGGTCTAAGTGTGATTTCTTCACTCTGGGTAACAAATTAGCGTCCTGCTGTTGGTTTGTAAAGGCCTTCTGTGCTGGTGAGCAGGAACTAAGAGATAGGAAGGGAAGATACTGCTGAAGTGTGATCTGTGTGTGGATACGATCATCAGGGACTCCAGTCATTGTCTGAGCTGCGTCTGTGCTGGGGCCACACAGGCCAGGGCCTGGAATACTGGAGCTCAGAGAAGCCTGGCTGCTGGAATGCGTGTGTGTCTCTCCAACTGGTGAGCTGGAGAAAGAATGCTGATTGTTGCCGGGCAGGAATGTACATCAACGGGTGTTGACAGATCTGCCTGACTTTTCAAGAGAAACCAGAAATCCAAAAACATGTTGTATGTGAAATTTCCCAGTTTTCAAAAATAGCGACAGCGAATTTGATTTAAATTAAAAAAAAATCGCTGAGAAAACAAATCTAACTTTCTATGGATTGGACTTGGCCCAGCCTCTGTCTCTGCCCTATGACCTAATCAAGCCAGACCACTGCGCTATGGCCTATATTTGTGAAAATGGACTTCTCACAAATTTATGTTACTTTTATATATTCTTACCTCACACATAAAATATAGTAAAACACATTTTTCCGTGTTGTGGCATGATAGAGAATTCAAACGCTGTGCCTGCTAGTTAACTGTCTGGCTTGGGGACAGCTACTTGAACTCTGAGATCAGGGTTATGGCTAACGAGGAGATACTGATACCCACTTTGGACGGCTTAGAAAGGACTGTAACTCTGTAGAACCTTGACACACTGGGGACCATGCAGTAGACGGTTCTGAGGTCCATGTGGTCGTCAGTATCCTCATGCCAAGCCTGTCAGGAGAACCAGATAGTAGCATCAGAAGCAGTGGAGGCCTTGCTAAGGAAGATGGGGAACTGTTGTGGGGATTAAATGTGATGAGACATTGGGAATTAGTGAGTTTCACTGAAGAACAAGATTTGAGAGGTGGGATGGCCTGAGAAGCAATGCGATTGGCTTCACTCTGACTCAACAGTTTCAAGACGAAGATGAAGGAGGAAGAAATGCCTTGTAGCGCCTTATAAAAATCAACCAGTCTCCCTAGAGATCACAGTGGTCCGGGTGTCCAGCCTGTCGGGGGACGGTACAGGGTCAGGCAGGGTTTTGGTCCATCATGAATGGAGACATCGCACATTTCGGGCTGACTCTGTATCAGCTACAAAAACAACAACAACAACAACAACGTAGTATGAGGGTTAACAAAGTTGGCTGTGCATCTCGGCCCTGCCGTTTCCTTGCTGTCTGGCCACATGCAACTCATTTCCTTGCCTCTGATTCCTCATTTGTCAAAACTGCATAACAATAGTATCTACACCAACAGGGCAAGTATTTGTAAAGTGCTGAGGGAAGGGCCTGGCACGTTGTGAGCATTGTATAAATGTTTGGTAAATTGAGAATTAAAATAAATCATGAAACTAGAGCAAAAGGGAATTTCAGAAGAGAAAAATATCCCTTTTTTTGAGTCAGCAGTCTCAACTGGAGGGAATAAAAAGAATCTGATTTGTTCCAAAATACCAGGGAGGTTGGGGGGTGGTTTGGCGATGGACTAGCAGGGGCAGTCGGCAAGAACTCAGTCTGACCCGGGGAGTCTCAGCCTCAGCACGGCGGATCTGTGAGGCTGAGTGATTTGATGTGTAGGCTGTTCTTTTTTTGTAAGATGTTGAGCAGCGTCTTGGTCTACCTTGCCCCTTCCTCATAGGTCCCCACAGTCCTCTACCTGAAAAGGCACCCACCTGGCTTCTCGCCTCTAGATGTCACCTGGCCTCTCCCCAGTAGATACCTGGCTTCTACCCTCTAGACATCTCCCGTCTTCTATGTGCTAGACACATGCTTGTCCTCTACCCCTTAGACACCCTCCTGGCTTCTGTCCTGTAGGCACTCACCTCATAGATGGCCACCTGGCTTCTAGACATCTTGAACTGTGACCCCCCAGACATCCACGTGCTCTCTACAAGGTGGACGTCTACTTGTCCTTTACTCCAGACACTCACCTAACATCTACCCACCTGACACCCACGTGGCTTGTTCCCACTTACACCCAGCCTTAGGGTGTTAGCGACAACCTAAACTGTCTCCAGACTGTCCCGACTCTCCCTGGGTGACAAAATCAACCTTGAGCTGAGCGCACTGCTAACCCAAGCAGACCAAGTAACCGGGCGCACTGGTGCGGAGACATCCAATGATTTCACAGTTGTTACTAATTATTGAAACTATACTCCTGATACTGAAAATGTGACCCGTGTCTTGGATTTTTGTCATTGTTGTTAGGTCCCATTGAATCATTTCTGATTCATCATGACCTCAGATACAACAGGCGTGAAACCTGGCCCAATCCCATGCCGTCCTCAGGGTCACCGTGATGTTTGAGTGCATTGATGCGTTCACTCTTGTCTGCCTATCTCAGAAAGGGTCTGCCTCATTTTCTCTGATTTTCTCCTTTGCCAGGCAGGCCTTGGTTGTCGTTGTTGTTGTTGGTAAGTGCCTTCAAGTCAAGTACAACTCTTAGCGACCAAGAGATTCAAACCCTGTGCCATCGTCACACTTCCCGACACACTAGAGCCCGTTGCGAAAGTCCCCGTGTCAGTCCACCTGCTTGAGGGTCTTGGATAGAATGTCGTGGATAGAATTGTTAAAACCATTTTATTCCTTTACATTTCGGCAGCTTATTTCGCGGATCTGGTTTTCATAAATTATAACACTTTACAATCTAGATATTTTCCCAAGAAAGAAATAGATTACCTAATTTAATAGCTGCCTTAGTCGAGTACAGGAATGACACCCCTGAGATTTAAATTCAAATCTCCCTCCTATCTGTGGGCTCGAGAGCTCGCATTAAAACAGGACGTTGCTCATGGAAATATCATACTCTAATTTTAGAGCTGCTTAATACAATAATTAATCACTCAAGTAGTTCCACTCGGAGCTGTTTTATCATTTGAAGCAAACTTAGGGCTAATCAGGCTATTGTTTGCTTTCACCACGCATGAAGTCACACATCAAACAAGTCCATGATTGCTGATCCCGAGACAATTGGATTAATTGTTCTGATTTCATTCTTGTGGCTGTTTTTTCCGCTCTTTCAAGACTGTAATTTCTTGCGTTCTTCAGTTTAAATGTCTGATTGTGTCCATATCCCTCAGTTTCACCATTTTCTTTTTTCTTTGCCCAGCAGTGTGATTTCCCCCCCCATCTTATATAATAATGAGTTTTCCAGAAACATCTTTGTTTCCGATCACATTATTCCTTCCAAGCTGATTCATGGACTTGCCAAATGCTTGAGCTTCAAAGAAGTTCAGAGGTTATCGGGTTCTGGAATAGTCAGCCCCAGACACATAGGAACATCTTTCCTTTCCCATGGCCATGGTTAAAAAAAAAATTAAAAATTCCAGTCGCCAACAAATGATTCCAAATCTTGGCAGCTCATGTGTGCATATCACAGCTGAGCAGCATACCGTTTACTGTGGCTCTGATTACTTTGGAAGTAGATCTCCAGGCTTTTCTTACAAGGTAACTCTGAGAAGATTTGAACCACTCTCCTTAGAGTTACATGTAATCATTTCTGCCATCCAAGAGCTCCTCGTGCTATCGTACAAAACAAACGGATTCATTCCTGTCAGCTACTCAGCTGCAACAAGCTTTGCTCTTAAAGTTTCCAGGGCTAGAAATATTCACGGGATGAGGATGTCCGTCTCTCTCCCCTGGATCCGAACCACCGACCTTTTGATTCCCAGTGCAATGCTCTACGCACTAAAGGT